GTTTAATAGTAACCACATAATGCATTTGGTAAAATTATCAAAGTTGTTTAAAACCAGTCAATGAGTGATATGTGAATCTAATTCTCTATCCTACTACTAGCTTAAGTTTTGGGTTTGAGGTTTAAGCCCAACACGCACGTATCGTGTGTCCCTTGTGAGCTATCACTGGCCTAGTTTTCCCACAAGATCTATGTAGGGGGTGTGCCTGTGGGGCTTAACTAGTTAATGCATCCTACATCAGATAAAAGAGAGAACTTGTGGATTGCAAAAACAACCAATATTTAGGCATAGAATTTCTGGCCCGGTCCATATGAAGAACCAAAAGGATTTTTCGGTTTACTTCTCTTCCCGCTTAAGTATTCTTTACTAGTAATGACATGTGGAATCAAAATTTGGGGTTAATAATGTAATATAAATTATATCATTTAAAGTGTTAAAAATAAATATTATATTATTTAATAATTAATTATTTTTATGTTTTAAAATCCATACTATTATATGTCAACTCATTAAATGATAAATTTAAACTTTGATATCAAATTTTCACCCTTCTATCATTACTTATTCTTTACCCATCTCAAACTTAAACTAAGCAAGTTTATCGAGATTTTACACATATAAGGACATCATTTTTTAAAATTTTTAATTAAAAATATCACTTATTTATTTAATTAATTAAGATTATTACTTTTAAAAAATTTTAAATAAAAATATCACATTTTCAATTTTACTATTTCATGATTAATTGGGTGTCAATACTAACTTGGCAAACGGATTCCGTCCATGGGATTCATTAAATTGCTGATGTGTAAAAAATTGATAGGTGACTGTTCTGACTTGGAGTTGATTTGGACAACATGCGTAAGTGTCAACACTGAAAAGGGTGTTGTCAGCACCCAACCTGTGTCAGAGAATCCTTTTTCCTTTTATTTCATTTTAACAAAAAAATTATAAAATTAAAGAAAAATCATAAACTGATAATGTATAGATTAGTCAAACACAATAAGTTACGTTATATAGATTTATTAAATATAATAAATTTTTTAAAAATTATGCTTATCAGTTTGAGATTTTGTGTTAAGTAGTAAAAAATATATTATAATACATAATAAAATATTTTTAAAAAAAAATTTAATCTATGACTAACACACTATAAATCCTGGATAAAAATTGTGCTTTCAATAATGGATAAAAGCTCCTATTAAAAATTGTGATTCAAGTTTATAGTAGAATGTAATAGCAAACAAAATGCAAAGAGATCTTGAGATGAATTACAAAAATTAAGTACCTATTATACTCAAATTAATAATATTATTGTTATTTACAAAAAAATAAAAATAAAAAAAATAATTTTACCTTGACATAATGAAAATAACAAACAAAAAGATCTCTAGTGATAAATTATTCTTCAAAGTTATGTAATTCTCTTAATCAATCATGAAAAACAGAGTAAGAGTTTAAATTTTCTATAATTTTTTAATGTTTAGATTGATGTGAAAATATTATTATTTTAACTTTTAGAAAGCTATTTTAGAGGGTTTCTGTATGCTTCTTCAATCTTTTCAGGATTTGTTTACTAATTTATTTTATTCTAATTTTAATTAATTTTTCCTAAAGAGTTCAGTGCCAACACCACATATTTGTGTGTCGGCACTATTCATTAAGACTTCTATACTGTCCAAATCAGCCCTAAGTCAGGGTAGCCATCTATCAATTTTTTACACATCAGCAATTTAGTGGGTCCTACGGACGAAATCCATTTGCCAAATCAACATTGACATTCAATTAATCATTGAATAGTAAAATTGAAAAAGTGATATCCTTGATTAGATACTTTTTAAATGTGATAATTTTAATTAGTTCAATAAAAAAAATATTTTTAATTGAAATTTTTTTAAAAAATGATGTTTTTATATGTGTAAAATCTCCAAGTTTATCAATTTTAAAATAAACAAAGATAAAATTTATAAAAATTGAGATTAAATTTTAAAAATGCTTAACCTTTCATGTATCTCATAGACATACTTGTTAAACTTTGAATTTTACAATATGAGATAATATGTTGTGAATGTTATTATCTATTTTACTCATTAGTTTTGAACAGTATACCGCAAACAAATAAACAGTTACAAATATTCAATTAAGATTTTTAAAAAATTGCTAATAAATCTTGCCTAGGCCCAGAATCATGCTTAAGGTGTAGGTGTTTAGCATAGCGTCAACTAATTTTATCATTGTTTTATTACTTCTCACAAAAAAAAAAAATCATTTTTTTTAATCATGCTTATGGCCACGGGGTATAATACTTTGCTCAATATTTTTATTCTACAAAACAAAACTCTACTTAAGATTAAAAGAAAAAAAAAAAAGCAAAGCAAAACAAAACAAAATTATGCGAACTCTACTTATAAAACACACATGCTTAATAGCAAGTCATAAGTACTTTTTCTTTAATTTATTTAGTAATTTAAGTTACCTTCTTAGACTACTCATACATCAAAATTTGGAAATTATCTTTTACAACTAGTATTTGATAATTGGCAGAATTCAGAAAAGCAAAAGGGCAAGATTGAATACGAAACGAGTAACAAGAGAAGCAAATATATTGTGCCTGTGATAGTGATAAAGCCAAACTGAACTGCTGTAATGGAATAAATTAAACACCATAACACAAGTCTAAAGTCGCACATGAATTTGTAAATGGACAAAAATATACATATCAATTTTAGGAAATGAGGTAACATTTTGGGTGCCAAACAATGTGGCAACTAAGGAACTAATTAAGAAAACATCCCGATTCCCAATATGATTACATATACAAGAGACTGAGACAGATGTCCTTTTATTAGACATATGTAGACTGTAGAGAAGATTGAAGCATATATAAATATATAATAGAGGCAACTCACTACCAAATCTCACAAGAAAGTGATCGTGAGCCGCAATCTCCTTAATCTCAATTTTTAGAACCATTAGCATTGGGCTTTTCAGATTCATGACCACTCTGTAACCATAAGTATCAATACCAAGTCATTTTAGGAAGTGCGGTAACACTTCGGAAGCAGCTTGATGTGCTGATGGGTGCGTACTGTAATGGTGACGTAAGGAGGTGAATTGTAAGTACTAAGATCGCGATGTGTGCCGCCTCTACTTGTTCGGCCTTTGTCCTCACGAGTTCTTCTAGTTAACGGTATTCTCCTGATTGATTCTTTAATTTTTTTTAATCGTTTCTTTATGTTTCGTTAATTGTTAAATGATTCATGCCCATCTCTTTCCTTTTGAACCCTAGTTTATGAATTTGAATTGCTTATCTGTGTTTGGTTTCTGAGGAATTTGGTGTTTTAGAGGCAGGAGAAGTTTAGAAGGAGAGATTGGTTGAGTTGGGGTTGAGTGTGGGAGCAACACATAATCTGGTTTTTGTTATGCCCTAACTCCTAATTAAGAAGAGATGAATTGAAAGTTGTGGCATTTGTTTTATTGTGAAAAATGGATTCTGAGATAGAGGGAGAGAGGAAAGTTGTTGAATTAGTGGTAAGCTTGAATTACATGTATTTATGAAGACTGCTACTGGAAGCATTTTGAAAATGGTTTTTAATGAAATATAAAGAACAAGAGAAAAGATGTGGTAGTTGTGCATGAATAGCATAAGTATGTTCTTATTAGCTATTTTGGGTTAGTTTGGTAACCTCTCATCTGTATAAATTAGAACAGGGGTCATGGATATAAGTCTTCTATTTTATCATGGGTATATTTGAAAGAGATATAAATTCAAATGATAGGGATGCCGTTTCTGTTTACTTCCAATTGCTTATTCTGGTTACCTGTGACGTGTCATAGAGAAAATCATGCTATGACATTAAATTCTCTATTTATTGTGGGTATGTAAGATGTAAGACAAATAAACTAGGTATTTTTGGTTGTGATCCATGTTTCTTTACAAATCTAATTAGTTTCTCCTTTACAATCCTATTTTTTATTGTCAACTGGTGTGAGACGTATCATTTTATGGGTTGAGGAAGGTATTTTGGTGAGTTTCTTAGGTAGATACTATATGCTCTTGTAGTATTCATAGGTATCGTTGTTCTTATGTGGTAAACTCTTTTATGTTCAATTTCAGCTTTTGGCCACATTTGAGTTGCAGATACATGCTTATGGTTTTCTCTGCAAGTTATTGAGACTTTGGGATTTTTGATTTCAAACTCTTGTTTTCTTTTCAAGTTGTTGAGACTTTAGGATTTCTGATGTCAATCTTGTGTTTTCTCTTGTTCAGAAAATGGATATGGGGCCATGTCCAAAGGTCCACTCTTCGTAACTGAGGAGAGAGCATCCTTATATTACTCACAATGCTGGATAAGTGCTTTTTTTAGCTGTAGGTACTTTATGTTTGTTTTCAAAAGTAATGTCTCTGCTGATGGTATGCCTATGCTATTCACTTTTACTAGTTTCTATATTTCTGCATCTGTGGTTACTTAACCCTTCTTAGATATGAAGAAGCTAAGGCAAAAGGCATTGGTAATTAGGACAGAGAGTTGGAAGATGCTATTGACAGGCTCATTGTTGAGTGTGATAGGAAAATTGGTAGAGCTCTCAAGCGTCTTGAAGATGAGGAAGCAAAAGCCGCTATTGCTATACAAGTCTCTGAAGTTACTCAGGTTTTGGATAAGTCTTAATTTTATCTGTCTGACCTTTCTTCTACTTGGGACTTACAAATTTATTTGTTTTCAATGTTTTTTTTTATTTGAAAAGCTATTTGTTTTCTATGTTGATGTTACAGACACCAGAAGTATTAGAGCTTTCAAAGCAGATTAAGGAGAAATTGAAAGAAGTTGATCAATTTGGTATCATATTTTTGCACTAGCTTGTCTTTTATTTTTTCAGGGCTGTCTCTAAGTTATCACCTAAGATTTTTTCTTTTGAGAACATTTTTATTTATTTGTCCCTTCTTTTTTTTTTTGAAAGTTAAAGTAACATAGGAAGCATCTGGCTTTGTGGGTTTTTAGTTAAGCTTTTATGATTTGATTTTTGTTGAAATCTATCTACTTTTGATGTTGAGTTTGAGATTTTATATCACTTTTATGCTTGAATTCCTTGTTTTCAAATTGCCTTTTGAAGGTTATGTATAAAAGGAGGGGGTGGGGGTTGAGCAGGTTGCTAGTATTTTCTATGGAGGTTTATATGCACGAGGTTTGTCTCTTGAGTTGGAACAAAGATGCGTTTTCTGCATTGCCAATTGATGACGAGTACTTGATTAATTTTCTTTGATTTAACATGGTTATTCTTCTTTGAATTAATTGATTCAGGATGCTGTCCAAGTTTACAACAATTGTTGTGAAGTTTTTGTTTGTAAGTTCAATAGATTTCATAAATTTTAAGATTTTGATTTTATGGTATAGGGGGATAACCATAGTTGAAGTTTGATTGCTTTCCCCATTATTTCAACTCTAAGGTGTTTAATTTGTTATAAAAAGGAATAATTAAATGATTTAATCAGTATTTTTAGAGTGAGGAGATTGCCTCAAAATATCCATTTGTCTGGTTGGTATGTTTGGATGGTTAAGATTAAATCAATATGGTTGAATTCAGCCAAAGGCTATGTCCCCTCACATATTCTAGAGGACCTGGACAATGGTTCCAAAGAATGGTGAACCGTTCACATCATTTGGTGTGCCTTTAAATGGCATATTAGCATGATAAAGTAATGATGTGTCACAGTCTCACTTTTGTTGCGGCCTTTGTAAATGAGTTTTTGAGAATTCTTGAGAAATTTCTCTTGTTAGGGAGTTTAACATATAATTGGTTTCAATGACTATATCAAATCCGTAATATTACATTGCTTGACTCGATGACTTCCCAGTAAGCCATATCGTGTTTGATTTTTGAAGCTTTTTACAAGTTTTTTGTTTAAAGTGCCAAATTCTGTACATACAAGAATTATGTTGCATGATATTTTCTTTGTCCTTTGTCTTAATATTTACTGTGGATAAATAATGTAAATTTTATGATTAGCTTTGGGGTGTAAATGATATCTTTTTGATTTGCAAATCTTGAAGGCAAGACAGATCTTAAAATACGAGCTCTAGAAGAAGTAGAAGAGCTTAGAACTAAAAGAGTGGATAAACAGGTACTTGATAGCTCCTTTAGATGTAGGATTTGAAATGGGTCTCTGAAAGTATTGATTTATTCATATCAGAATTTCTGATATTGACTGTGTATTAAGTTCCTCATAATTTGATTCTTGTATAACATTTAGTCTCTTGGTATATATGATGCTTCTGTTTATTGTTATAGTCAACACTGCTTTTGGATGCATTCAATAAAGATCGGGCATCTTTGCCCCAACCATTGCCAAACCCTCCATATTCGGCACCACTGCCTGTGCCTGCACCTGATCCTTGGACCCAGGAAATGATAAATGAGAAACTGAAGAAAGCTGAGGATCTTGGTAAGACTCCAGTTACCTGAACTCCGTTTTTTATGTATGTAAAGCCAGGCGAAAAACATCTTGAGTTCTTGACGATAGATATCTATTAAGTAGCATGTGTTAAATAACATAAACATCTTGAGTTCTTGACGATAGATATCTATTAGGTAGCATGTCTTGAATAATTAAATTCCTAGAAATGAAATAGCAGTAATCCTTAAGTTGTTTCTGAGGTATTTATTACGCCAATTTATGTTCCTTCCTATTTGTGTTTACCTTTTTTCTTATAAAAAAATGTTAATGTTAGAAAATTTGTTTCCCCTGCCATTCCAAAACAATTGTCAATGGTTGATAAATACTCTGTGCTTTACTGTTTTTTCAATTAACACTCAGTGCTTTACATTAACAATGCTTTTAGGGCGGTTTCATTTAAAATATACAGAAAGGCATTGAACTGTGTTGTACAAAGTTTTCAAGAATACATGATGTACTTATCAATGTTTTATTAATAGTCTCTCTTTCTCTCTTATTGTTGTTTAGGTGAGAAGGAGATGGTAGATGAGGTACAAAAAGCGTTAGAAGAAGCACTCAAGAAGGTTTCAATTTGTGAATTTAGTAGTGTTATTTCTGTAGATTGATTTTTATTAACTTGCACCATTTCCTTCTCCTAGGTATGCCTTATTTATGGATAATTGTTTTTCCATATATGTTCAGCTCTCTGCCAGACAGGAGACTGTTCTGGATTCCTCAAAGTATACTGCTGTTGATGTTTGCATTGTGAGTCCTATTTTTCTTTCTTTCAGTTTCACAGAAGGAAAACTATGATAAAAACTAGATAAGAAAACTTAGACACACTTGGACATTATTGGGAAAATATGAATTCGAATTGCATAATTAATGCATGAACAGTCCCCTGTCATAATTTGATTTTAGTTTAATTTTCTTTTAGTTCATTTGTATGTTAATATTCTATCTGCTCTAATCTTTTTGATCCGATTTTGTTTCAAACTGATCAAAAGCTACATGTTTGTGATATTTGTGGAGCATTTTTGAGTGTTTATGACAGGTACATTTTTTATCTTCTACTTCTTGATCATAGCCTTTTATCTTCTTTCTAAGGGCTTCAAAAAGTTAGAGCATGTTTGGTGAAGCTTGTAAGAGTTTCAGCTTTTTAACACTATTCATGTTTCATAAGTTTAAATTTTCCTCTTAAAAAATTATATTTTTTAACTTCTTTTTAACCTTAAAAGACCTTAAACTGTAAATTTTGAAAAGTTTCAAATTTGTGCTTTTTATAAATTTCCTTTTTACTCACTTTTTTCTATTTCTAAAGCAACTTTTAAATTTTTCCTCCAATAAAAATTTAAACTTATAACTCATAAACAGTACAAAAAAGTAAAAGCTCTTACAAGCTTCACCAAACATGCTTTTAGTGTTTGGGGTTTCAAGTGCTTCAGCTTTTGACCTGGCTATTATGAGCATGTTTGGTGAAGCTTGTAAGAGCGTCAGCTTTTTGATACTATTCATGTTTCATAAGTTTAAATTTTTTTCTTAAAAACTTACATTTTTTAACTTCTTTTTAACTTGAAAAGACTTTAAACAGTAAATTTTGAAAAGCTTCAAATTTGTGCTTTGTATAAACTTCTTTTTTACTCACTTCTTACTCACTTTTTTCTATTTTTAAAAGCAACTTTTAAATTTTCCCTCCAATAAAAATTTAAACTTATCACTCATAAACAGTACCAAAAAAGTAAAAGCTTTTGCAAGTTTCACCGAACATGCTTTATACCTCCTTGTCATCAGCAAGCTTTTGGGCCCAATTTTATGAGGATAACTTTTGCAGCTACATAACGTGCGTCTTTTTCTATTTTTGTACTTGTTAGATCATGCAATTTTTAGATAATAAATATTTGGGAAACTGTATAATCTATAATGCATACTACTGCAGTATATATATATATATATATTTTTTTTCTTGTTTTTAAGTTTCTAGGTCAAAACAATTTGATTTTTCTTGTCTCTTTCAGTTACCGACGTTTAGTAGATCATTTTGGAGGCAAGCGTCATTTAGGCTATATGCAAATCTGTGATAAATTAGCAGAACTTAGTTAAGATGATTTACATGCGTAGTATATGCTGACTGTCTATGGTGGCTCTGCTTTAAGTGTTGCATTATAGTGCCTAGCATCCAAGATGTTAGTTGTATAAATTGCCTGAACCATCCACATACTATGTCTATTATTATTATTGTTATTTTAAATAATCAGAACTTTATTTGAATGCCGTTACCCAATGGATTCTAGTGAAACAGCAAATTAATACATCTTTTCGGAATCCCCTTAAGTTTGTATTGTGAATACGTTGGTCAGGTGCTGGTATAATGTTTCTCATTCTTTTATACAGATTCTCAGTTAGTGTCATCTGTTAGCTTTTCTGACCTCAGGGAAGAATAATATCTCCCAGTTTTCAATTTCGTTTGATTGTTTGTCGATGCTGGACTTTAAAACATACTATTTTCTACCTTGTCTGTGCATATTGAGCTTAAAATGCATCAAATATGAAATGTCTTGGTGCTCAACCAATTTTGATAGATTAGTTTTTTCTGCTGAAAGAATGAAAGAAAAAGTAAACATGAAATCAAATAGGAGAGAAGTATAAGAAAGGAATTTGTTGTAAGTAATGTAAGAAAAAAAAAATGAGCTTTTCATATGTTTAAAATCTGTGACAACAAATCTGGTGAAGCCCTGGTTTGGTCAGGGTAAGTTGTCTACTAATTATGCCCACCACCATTAGAATTCTTTCCTAATGGTCCTTGTGGCATGTTATATTTAGCCAAATTGAATTGGCATTTAGGTTTTTGAAAGAAGCATTCAGTAATATTTGCTGATTATTGTTTTCTCAGGAAGAGAGCAACAAGAGCCGCAAATGCAGACTTGACTGGTATAATGACAGGAGGTAATCCTCTCATGGTTTCTTTTCCTTTTCCCTTTGGTAAACCATTGGGTGGTGAGAGGGGGTGTTGTGATATCCTTTTTATTGGTGGTGTATAGATCGAAAGAAAG